TAGCCCTTGCTAAGATCGAACCTTTATGTTTGAAGAAACTATTTTCTGCATTTAGTTATCTAGTTGAAAACCTTCCACAGAAATCTTTTTTCAAACAAGCTTATTCACGTCATCATTAGAATTCGACTTGGAAAAACATTAGCTATCTGGTCGGAAATATGGGGTATGTGCTCATTTTTCTAATCCGAATTGAATCGTTCACATTATTAGAATACGTTGCGTCTGCGTCAGTGCTGCTCAGTCAGATAGGCGAAAATACGGCTATGCTTAGAAAATAAGGTTTTAAGAGATTGGACCCACATTATTTCTCTTTTACCTATCGCATAAGAGAACAAACGCTATCGTACAAATCTAGCGTTGTACGCAAGAAAAAATAAAGGCTTTCGTGGGTTATGCAATGAAATACATCTCTTAAAAAAGGCGTTTTTGCAAGTTTCTGACTTATTTCCCCCGGGTTCATTTTTGAAACCCACCCACACACCGTTTATCAAAGTGGTAAAAACTAGCGCATGTGATGATAAGGTTACTTACTTTGGCAGCCGTACACCATTTCATTGTAATCGAGAATTCAGTAAAGGTGTGAAAATAGTAGACTATCAAAGGATACTATAATGCGTAGATGGGTTGATGCTAAGAGTACTTTATTTCACGTTTTTCTCGCACAGGGACTCTTTTAACCCCTCAATAATGTCATATTTTCACATGTTAAAGCCTAATTTTCTACATTTTTTGATTGAAATCTTTTTGCAACTTAATATAGTATTTTTACAGCAATTCGACACTTCTTCTGTTGAATTTCACCCCAAAAAGCAATTTATCTTCCAGTCAAACGGTTATAAATTATTAGAGAGTAAGATGTGCACTAGTGGTCAGTGCATTCTCCTGGAGATAAATAATTTCAATTGTCCTTCTTTTGTCGTCTAAAAGACCGGTATAGTTGAGTGGAAAAAGTTTGTTGATTTATTGCCAGCTACCATCTCTATATTTGTCCAGTTTTGTAATGTCGGAGTACGTGCTGGTGCACTACCTATTTACCGATTCTCTGGATTCATTCAGGCATTGTCTCTCAGTCCTTATAGAGTGGGATTATCGATTCAGCGTTGCTCTTACTCATAAT